ATTAATTATTATGTCTTACATTTAAAATTTATTTTAAACACAAATAATTATTAATATTAATAAAAATAATAATAATTTATTGTATTAAAAAATATATAGCACAAATTACATAAATACCCTCAACAAATTTATTTAGGAAATGTAAAATAAGGGCAAAATTGGCATTTTACACTTGCACCATTTTGGTGCAAAATGGTGCAAAGTTTGGTGTTGGGTTGGAGCAATTTTGCACCAAAAAATGGTGCAAAATGGTGCAATGGTGTTGTGGTTGGAGATGGCCTAAGAACTCTCTCTGACTCTGGGGTGGGGTGGGATGGGATGGGGTATGGTTGAGGTTTCTGTATGTGTAATGATTATCTCTGATAATGATATATTTGGTTCATGTTTTTTTTTTTTTCTAATTAACAAGGTGTCCTAGTTTATGCCAGACTATATTCTCGTCCTTGAACTTCCGGCCCCTCAGCAGTTCAGGGAGATAAATCGCGGGATATGCCCAAGTTGACCAGGGTTCGAACAGCCTTTATACTCTTGGCCCCAAGAGAGCCTCTTCATGGTTATTACATCACCAAACTGCTCCAACCCTTCCTCTGGTTATTACAACACTCAACTGCTCCAACCAGGAATCGAACTCCCCACGCTGGGGTTGCGAGCCCCGCACTGTCCTTTCTTTGTCAACTTGGATGTGCCCCGGGGGGCATTTGGTTCGTGTTTTTAACTATATATTCAGAAACTCACTAAGACCTTAAGCTTTTGAATTCGACAACATATTCTTCTCTTTTACAACCCGCCCTGTTCTGTAGAATCAAGAAAGGGACTAGTATTTCCAAGGCTATGCCCATCCATGTAGCATTTAATCCCATGCGCACTGTGTAATTAGAGCATAGTGATTTGTGTGTCCTCCTCCATTGTCTGTTTCTCCTTTGGGTAGCGTGCCAGCTGAAGGCGGCTAGGTTGCACAGAAACAAAAACAGAAAATGTGAAACGACATATAGAAACTCTAAATGATTTTAAAAAGAAAAAAGGAGGGCATGAAACATTTCTCGACTCTTGTAACCTACATTGCCAGCCCAAGACAGCACAACAAAAAAGGGGAGAGAAAAAAAGGGATTGTTCTCACACACGCCACAAAAAAAATAAAAAAAAATAAATTAATTAATTAATTAATTAAACAAATGAAGAGAGAGAGAGACAGACAGAAAAAAAGGGTTGTTCTCGCATACACCATTGCCTTGCATCAACCTTAGGCTACATTGTCAAAATTATTTGTCAGTTTTTGTATCCAATCATCTTCTGTCAATACTGCATTTATCAAGTAGCTGGACTAAAAATCATGCTAAAATGGCTTATCCTGCCAGCATAGGGCGCCGTATATCTTTGTTGACCATCTATTTTCTGCAAATGCAGAATACGATCTTGACTACCCTATGATCAAAGGGTAATTGAATTAATGCCCCTAACTAGTTGTTTACATAGTTCTGCACCAATAAATTTTTGCCACGCGTTTATGTGGCTTTAATTTAATAATCAAGAGAAACGGGAACAAGAAATGTTGTCAGATGAACCTGCTCAACTCAGCGTATTGTAATTTAAACAACAGATTTTCTTTATCTTGTAAGTATTAAGCCCTAAGTCCACTCAACTTTAAACTTAAATATTTTTGATATATATAATTAATATAATTTAATAACAGATCTATTATTTAATTAATAGACAATTAAATAAATAATAAAGTTCATAGATTCAAATCTTCATAATTTGTTAATCACAAAGAGTTGTGATTGTGAGATACAAATTACATCTGATTGAATCTTAAATCGTCCGTGGTCGTAAGTAATAATGAGATACGAATACCGTTATTACGGATAGACCATCACGTGTGGCATTTCTTACTTGTGAAGTAAGTAGCTAATCTCACAAGCTAAAGTGTCGTGACACTTAAATGAACACGTAAATGTTTTGTTATAAAACAAAACATTGGAGACCCTCTGAGAGATTCCACATGGATAACTATCTGAGTGTCAAACGTTAGGTAGTGGAATTGGTCCTTTGACTTCAGGTCGTCATGGTATCTTATATGAGGACAGTCATACTTTGGCGGTGTTGGATGTTGCTCTGCAAAGGGCCGCTAATACCACATCGTTCGGGTACGTCAAGAATCGTATAAAGGTTGTGATTGACCAATAAAGGATTCGTCACTCTTAGATAGTAGGAGATTATGATCTGCATTTCATTCAATTAAGTCGATGATGAAATCCTTGGCCAAGGTATACTCTTAAGTCAAAAAGGAATTTTCGACTTATATTGACTTAATAGTGGAGTGAAAGATATGATCGATATTCGGGATTGACACAACTCTATATCTCGTAATTGATCGGATCATATTGACGAATGGATTATAGTTTCACGGTAAACGAACGAGTTTGATTTTGTCATACCACATGACATTCCCCATCACATGTATTGCCCTGACACATTGCTAAATGTCAATTTAGGACGGCGAGTGTGAATTGGTGATAAATTAAAAGAGTGTTTTAATTTATCAATTTTGATTAGATCAAAATAATATTTCACGTCGTTAGGCATCGTGATCGTGAACCTGATGGGTCGCACACAAAAGAGAATTGGAAGATTGTAATTTGTCAATTAATTAATTTAACAATCGTTAGATAAATTAATTAATTGGTTTGGTTATTTATAAGCCCGAATTAATTAATTGGATTTATTAATTCACGGACTGGATTTAATTAAATGGATTAATTAAATATTGGACTGGACCAAGCCATGCCTGTTTGGGCTTAAATAAATATATGGCTAGGGTTTTCAATCCATATGATTTTTCTCATAATTATTCTTGCTAGCACAAAAGGAGAAAACCCTGGTAGCTGCAATCTTGTTCTCTATGTGGATCACCGTTGGAGGTTGGACAATTTGACAGTTGTGGGTGGTGAATCAAGATTGCTGGAACGAAAAGAATAACAAAGAAGTTTGCAGATTTGGAAAATGTACAATCTTATCACAATTTCTATATAAACACAAAGACGATTCTTGGTGGGAATCGAAATCTGTTATAATTTTTCGCTGCGCATGTTAAGTAGATTCCCAACAGTGGTATCAGAGCCTACTTTGTGTTTGTTAGAAATTATTTAACATTTTGAGCAATCAAAAGTTGATTGTTATACATGTTTTAGTTTCTAGCAATTAAGAAAATTTATTATCATATTCAAAAATCTATTTTGAGATAAAAATTAAAATTTCGTAAATAAAAAAAATAAAAATAAAAAGGAAAAAATGAAGGAATCTGAAAATCGGGCAGCACTGCCGTCAACGTTGGACACCGCTCGCCGGTGCTGCTCCCGCACGCAGTAGCGTCGCACGCTGCGACGCTGCTGCTGCCAAAAAAAAATGGCAGCAGGCGCTGTTGCTACAATAGCTGCAGCGTCGGCTGCTTGGTACTAAGACTGGCGCCACCAAGAAGAAAGAGGAAAGGATTTTTTATTTTTATTTTTAAATCTAGGGTTTACAGTCGGTTTTGAGAGATTGGAGGCGGGGGCTTCACATGCAATTTATGAAATTGTAAACCCCTGGTTGCAATTAAAGCTAAAGGGTCGTACTGCAATTTTTTAAAAGGGGATCCGGTCTACAATTTATGAAACTTAAAGGGGGCACTTGCAATTAGATGATAAGGGTAACTTTGCAATTTTTAATTGGAGGACTTATCACGCAATTAAGTTAATTGAAGGACCACCTTTTAATTTTAAACTTGGGTCAATTTGCAAATTTCAAAATGGGTTTTGAATTTGAATTTTAAATAGGTTTTAAAATTATGTTTTTAATTGGGTTTGACCCATGTTTTTATTTTGACCCAAATTAAAATTTTATTCAAAATTGACGACTTTTTATATTTTCGTTAGAATATGATTTTAACTTAAATATTAAATTTGACCCTAAATTGAATTTTATTTTATTTAGGAGTTTCATCTTAAATTAAAATATTAATTCAATTCAAATTAGAGTTGGACTCTAATTTAATACTTAATTAAAATTTGATTGTAATTAATTATTCACCCAATTATATTTTTGAAATTAGAATTGGATTCTGATCTGACATTTAATTGAAATTTGATTTTAATTAAATTGTGTTGCCCTAAGATTTTATTTATGATTAGAGTTAGACTCTAATTTGTGTTTTAATTAAAATTTGATTTTAATTAAACGTGTTCGCCCTAAGATCTAGGAATTAGAGTTGGACTCCAATTTTGTTATTTAATTAAAATTTGATTTTAATTAAATTATCACTCCCTATAATTGTTGAATTAGAGTTGGACTCTAATTCGGTATTTAATTAAAATTTGATTTTAATTAAACATGCCTGCTAATTAAATAATTGATTAATATGATTAATTAATTATTTAATTGTTCCGATCTATAAGTCTAAAAGAGTTTAAACGATTTTAATTGCTAGAAATTTGAAACATGTTAGGATATAATATTAGATATTATATATACATACATTTAT